GGTTCTGATTAGGTTCCTGATAAGGTTCTAATAGGTTCTGATAGGCTTCTAATAGGTTCTGATAGGTTTTAATAGGTTTCTGATAGGTTCTGATAGGTTCTGATAGGGTTTCTGATAGGTTTCTAATAGGATTCTGATAGGTTTTGATAAGGTTCTAATAGGTTCTGATAGGTTCTAATAGGTTCTGATAGGTTTGTAATAGGTTCTGATAGGTTCTAATAGGGTTCTGATAGGTTCTACATAGGTTCTGATAGGTTCTAATAGGTTCTTGATAGGTTCTGATAGGTTCTGATAGCGTTCCTGATAGATTTCTGATAGGGTTTCTGATAGGTTCTACATAGGTTCTGAGAATGTTCTGAATAGGTTCTAATAGGTTCTGATAGGTTTCTAATAGGTTTCTGATAGGTTCCTAATAGGTTTTCTGATAGGTGGTTTCTGATAGGTTCTAATAGGTTCGGATGGGTTCTGATAGGTTCTAATAGGTTCTGATAGGTTCTAATAGGATTCTTATAGGTTCTATCATAGGTTTTAATAGGTTCTGATAGTTTCTAATAAGGTTCTGATCAGGTTCTAATAAGTTCTGATAGGTTCTGAATAGGTTCTAATAGGTTCTGAATAGGTTCTAATAGGTTCTAATAGGTTCTGATAGGTTCTAATAGGTTTCTGATTGTTTCTGATAGGTTCTGATAGTTTCTAATAGGTTCTAATAGGTTCTAGATAGGTTTCCAATAGGTTCTGATAGGTTCTAATAGGTTTTAATAGGTTCTAATAAGTTCTAATAGGTTCTGATAGGTTTCTAATGAGGTTCTGAATAGGTTTCTAATAGGGTTTCGGATGGGTTCTATATAAGTTCAATAGGTTCTGATAGGTTCTAATAGGTTCTGATAGGTTCTAATATGTTCTGATAAGTTTTCTAATAGGTTCTTAAAATGTCGCGGAGCTCGTTTTCTGCGAAGTAAAGAAATCAAGTTTCGATTAGCATGATTTCTTACGGTTTGTTTTTTTACCAGTAATGGTAATGGGCTCCGTTTTTTACCTATAAAAATGTTCACCAAGGTGCTTCTATAAGAGTTTTGTATGGTCACTGCACAGGTCACCCAAGGCGCTGTCAAAGAGTTTGTATGGTCGCAGGTTTGTCCAAGGGCGCTGTAAAGAAAAGAGTTTGTATGCGTCACGAGGTAATTCTTACTAAAAAACCCCTCACCCCAAAACCTCGATCGCCGCTCTTCGTGCGTGTCTTTTCGCGTCGCTCCCCCACTATCCGAACGCCCCGAGCAGAACTAAAATTAAATAAAAGCACAGGAAAAGTGAAAATTATTTTTTGATCGAATGTCCGCTCCATATATAGAGTTATTTGCAGCGAAAGTTTGTGTAATAACGGCTGGGTATTTTTACGAGTCAGTTTTTATTTTTTCGAGCCTTTAGGCGAGAAAAAATAAACACTGACTAGAATGAATAAATTGTTTATTATACGACATAAAATCTTTCCTAAAATATAGGCTTTCAACAGTTGTTTTCCGTGTCAGGGGGACTGAGACTCGACCGTGTAATACCGTCTCATATCTGCGCGCGTCTTTTTGCGTATTCCGCACTCTAAAATGCCACGTCGTATAATAAAAACTCTTATACAGCGCTTTGAATGGTGGACCTTGTGCTATTATATGGTTTGGTTGCATTTATATACTATAGATAAAAAGGAAGGAAGTTGCAGAGACATGCTTCGACTTGCTCAGCAAAGATTCGGCAAAAGAGAAAAGGCTTTTTCCATCTTTTTGGCTCCAGTGGTTCCTGATTCTGTGATATAAACATCGATTTTTATAAGCTTCTATAGCCAAAATATAACATTTACAACATCCTGCACCAATCATAGCAAACATGCTATTGGTTTTTCTTCTAATCATCCAATCTGAAGCAAACCTAACACCATTTAATACAGTCAACTCTCTCTAAGACAGACACCATCGGGACCGGCACCAAAACTGTCCGTCTTAGAGAGGTGTCCGAATTATAGAGAGTTTAGATACAGTAAAATGACTGACCATGAAAGACGGCGGACAGGGACCAACGCCAGGTGTCCGTCTTACAGAGGTGTCCGTTAAGAGGTTGACTGTAATCCTGACTTAACTTAGATGCGTTTTCTCGCGCTTTGAGCGGTTTTCAATCGAGTGTCGAAAGTAATCCGTTATTGCTTTGGTTTTACTTTGCTACACTCTATGATTGGTTAGAAACACTTGCGCCACCTATCAACCAATCAGATACAAAACCAAAACCAAAGCGACTTGGTCACACGCGTTTTCGCCGCGCTTGGTGCCGGGTACGTGTATTTGGTTCGAGTTCTGATTGTTACATAGTGCGTTTGCTGTGATTGGCTACTGAGATGCGATTAGTTTGGTTTTGGTTTTACAACAGTCATTAGGGAAACGCTCTGTGAAATAAAATAAAATGAAACAATAACTACAATGTTATTTTAATTAATAATATAAGTGTACTCCTTAGCGCTTTTAGAAGGCTGTTATAATAATTGCTAAAAACATACTCTACGTTGACTGTAAATTGTGTAACTTCTACTTATTGTTCAGTGACTAAAATAACCAAACTTTAGTTTGATCACTTACAAATTTAATATACAACGTCTTTTGCTGATTCGCAGGACTGTGGACGATAATATAAAATGTACTCCTTAGCACTTTAGAAGGCTGTTATAATAATAAAACGTACTATACGTTGACTGTATTAATTTAATGTTTTATTGGTTATTAATTGTTAAGTTATTATTGTAAAAGTCAATCAGGGCTCTATTTAAACTAGCCATGCTAAATTAGATGCTCCTGAATAAATATTGTTATACATAAATAAATAAATAAATAAATAAATTGTGTAACTTCTACTTATTGTTCAGTGACTAAATAACCAAACTTTAGTTTTGATCACTTACAAATTTAATATACAGCGTCTTTTGCTGATTCGCAAGACTGTGGACTTAATAAACAATGCAAAGCCAACTAAATGAGAGTTCAGCGGGAATAAATAATTTGGCAACATTTTGAGGACAGAGAGTTGCTCATGACGAAGTTATTGGCGAACAAATATTTCGTAAATTACAGAACTTTGTATGCGGCCGCCATTTTGTACAGGTTCTGTGGCGACCAAAAACATTTACAGAAAAAGCTTTGAAATGACACTGCCTTAAAATATTCACGGTTACTTCAATTTCACATTTAAAGGCTTGCTGTCTATAAACGACGATTGATAGCGTGTTAAATATTGCGTTTGTACCATTCAAAGAACACATGCTCAGCCGACGTCAGATATCAACTACCTATTATGGTTCCACGGGTCACGATCGCAGGTCTCACTTTGTAAAACCCAGATTTCGATAATATACTTAGACTACAATACATCGACTTAAAATTATTCTATTTCAACATTCTATTTTATTAAAAATTACTATATTTGGTATATGGTAAAACAATCGTGCTATAAATTTAACATGCAGTAATATTTCTGTACTACATACTACGGCTTCTCAGAGAAGCCCTGAAAACACTTAATTATCCTGCTTAATATATATAGTCTGATCCTTAGCCGACGAGGCCGTAGGCCGAGTTGGCTAAAATCAGACGATATTCCGCAAGATTGAGGCAGGGTAATTGTTTTATTATCCAACAAATTGTCAAACGAGTCAAAAAATAAAAGCATCAAAATTTCCTAAATGTCCTCTCAAACTCAGAGCTCTTTCCAATATGTCGAACGAGTCTACTTTTGTGCACTTCCAACTATGGTAAGCCACATATACTGCAGGATATCTGTCATGTACAGGTGACAGATAACAAGGGCTTCTTGACCATATATGGGCATTGTGACAATTTGCTGAATAATAAAGACGGATATTCGCCTGTGCGCAGGCCATGACACCACATGGCTTCCCAAAGAAGCCCTGACACCGTTAGCCTGGCCTGCAAACACAGACGGATATTTGCCCGGCCTGCAAAACCACAGCTTATGGACTCTGAGGCGGAGCAGATGCTTTGACTGGCGCACTCTGTTGCCAGGCGTAGGGCTGTCCCGGAGGTGGGTACTGTGGAACTGCTTCTTCTCCAGGGTAGGGTGGTGGTTGTTGCATTGGATATGGATACCCTGGGGGTGGTACTGGTGCGTTTGTTGGCACTGGAGCATAACCCACTTGAGGGGGTGGGTAGGGGTTTATTAACGGCTGGTATGGTCCCTGAGGGGAGGGGGAGGAGGATATTGAATCACCCCTGGTTGTGTGGGATAGGATGCCGAAGTCGTGGTGGTAGACATTGGCATTGGCATCGTGGCACCCGCTGCACCGCTTGGCTTCTTCTTCTTGTACCTTACGATACACACGATACAGCAAACCAGTACAATGAAGACTGCCACACTGATAATGACGGCTATTGCTATCATCTCTCCTCCTGATGACAGAGGAGAGGAATGTACACGTTAGAGAGGAGTAGCCTTGGTAGCCATTATTTTGGTTGCCGGACAAACCGCACTTTTCTGCACTCAAGAAACATTGTGAGACGAGCCAAACCGACTACACCAGAAGAAGCAGGTGCACTTCATCCTACTTGAATACTTCAGTTCTTGTGAGTGAGATATTATTCTGTCAGTGACACAAGCTACTCGGAAAAAAATTCTGAGTTCCCCCAACAGGAGTCGAACCTATAAACTTCCGCACACTGGTCGGACGCTCTACCACTGAGCTACAGGAGACTCGTGGGAGCTAAGGCCATACAACTGTAGGTTCAAGTGTGCCAAACATCCGACATACTGCTAGGACTAGGTTTGTCTTACTTCAGTTCTTGTTTTGAAAATTTAAAATGAGCTCCATTGTTCGACGTGTGCACTGATTGGTCCGATAATCTAACCCTGACCCAAATGTGTTCGCGCACATTGAGATAACATATTTCTCACAAAACTACCAAGCTTAAAATAATAAATTGTACCATCATTTCTAACCAAGTTATATGGCCTAAGTCTCTGTAGCTCAATGGTAGAGCGTCTGACTGGTGTGCGGAAGGTCGTAGATTTGACTCCTGTTGGGGGAACTCGGAATTCTTTTTCGGAGTAGCTTGTGTCACAATAATTAAATAGCTTGATGAGTGACTTCAGCCAGTGTCTTTATCAGGAAAGTCAGAGTAAATTTTTTAAATTTGACTTGTCGCGCTGCGCACAGATCTATGTTCTAAAATTTTATGAAATTATGATTCCATATAAAATTAAGTGACAGGGATGATCGTCAGAAATTTAGATAGGAACCCACAGGCCTGACCTGAGAGACCCTAAAAAGGTGCCATGCGATTGATGATCTTGTTTTAATGTTTTGTGCGTGTAGCTCCAGTTCATTTTTCAACTGTAAGAAATATTAATTCATTTTCTGTATTATGCCCTAACAGGTAAAACTCTAACAGCAGTCAGTTAGATTAAAACAACCTGAACCCAAGCCAGAAATTTTAACCCTTAACAACGATCATCCCCTCACTTTTATATAGGAATACTACTTCTTTTGGTTAGTTGGAGCAAGCGTCAAAGCATGAACGAATTACCAGAGAAGTGAAAAGGAGCTCTTTTGACACTTCTTCTCTACTCAGCCCCAAGAGGGAAATGCTTGGGATTATTAAAAAAATGTTTAACATAAATTTTCATACTTACTTGGTTTATCCACTGCTGCGAATGTTGCCTTAAACCCGTTGTACTACGGATTTGCCCAGTCTGCTCTGAAACGCACCCACATGAACTGACCGCTTGAGCGTATGTCCCTTTGGAGTTGTGAAACCGCAGTATCTTCCTTTACATCTCACTGTTATTCTTCCCGTCTAGAACCTCCACATAATCTGCTGTACATGTCGACCCAGTGCCCGGCTCCAATGCAAAGCCCTGTTCAAAACTGAGTTTAACAACCTTGCCGAACGGTACAGTGATGAGCCAATCACAGCTCGAATGTGCGGGGTACCAGTCCACGCTGCGGTCCTTCTCTACTGGACTTCGTAGAGTTCCACTTGAGTCAGTTAATGTCATATTGTTATTGTAGATGTTTCCTGGGAAACACGTCTGCTTGGAACTTGGAGCTATGGTGAATACAAATTCTGTCAATTTAACTCATCACCGGAGAATATTACCAGCCTACGTAGTTGACAGTTTTTCAGTTGTGGAGGATTTCACAAATTTGAGACATTTTTCAGCAGCAAATTTGGTGGAACTGGGCACTGTGGAACCTGTGTGACTCGATCATGGCGCATCGCGGATATTTCCCCCCACCAAATTTTAACTGGACAATAAAATAAAAGGTACCAGGCTAGGCAATAACCAATCAGAGCTAATATACGGACCATTGCTGAACTACGTCATCAGTTTGGAATTTTTCGGGTCAAGTCGCAAATGTCTCTTTTCCATGGGGTGGGGGAGGGGGTGAATTGAGCAAGCGAAGAGAGACATCTATTTACTCAGCCTGGTTGTAAAGCAAGTGCAAGAAATGGAAAACTTCCCATTCTCTTGCGGCTTGCTTCTAGTTCATAATTTTACATGCAAACAAAACAGTCTTATCCGCTATCTTGAAAAAATGATGTCAATGCATAATACTTACGGAGATCTACAGCGTCAAAACGTGCTTTGAAGCCTCTGGACATTTGCCAACTGTCTGCAGAGCTTGAATGATATTTTGACCCACATGTACCTCCCAGTGGAATAAACATCTTTTGCATAAAGCTAACGTGTGGTATCCCGCAATAAAGAGCAAGCTCTTTACTTTCCGAGACCTGCCCATCACGTATCTGCACATAGTCTCTTTTTCTATAATATTATTATAAACACAAGTGACAAAGTCTTGATCAAGATCAAAGTCTTCAAATGTCAGCTTCACTCTTTTGCCAGCGGGGACAGAGATCGTCCAAATGCACCTGGCATCATATTGGGTATGGAACAGGGTAATTAGGGCTAAAGAATGTACCAGAAGTACACTGAGGCTATGAACTTTATTGCTCCCATCTGTTGAACGACATATTTCCAGCAGCTTCCTCTGCAAGGAAAAAAACATCATCATTGTAATGCTTTGTATAATATTATCTAGAAGGCTGTGTAGATGTAACTAGTCCTTTGCACGCATTACATGCCTATGTTGTTAGATATTGTAACTGTAGCCTTTGCACACATTACGTGCTATGTTGTTAGATAATATTGTATCTGTACCCTTTGCACGCATTACATGCCTATGTTGTTAGATAATATTGTACGTGTAACTATTAAGATGGATTCCGCTCAACGTTCGAGCAATAAGTGCAAAAATTAATTACTAAAAAACTACTCATAGCATGGTAACATTTTGGATACATGTAGTATTTGAAACATATCACTTTAATTTACTTCTCCAAGTGACCCCGCGATTAAATTCTCAAGCATTCTCGAGAAAATTAATGTCAAACCTCGTAAAAAATGATAAAAACGCATTCCATTTCGTTTTGAAACTGACATGAAGCGTCTTTTTAATTAAAATATGTAATGACTTCTCTCACAGGGTCAGCTTGGGAACTAATTTATCGATAATTTTCTTCTTAACTGTATTTCAAAATGTTACCGTGCTATGAGTATTTTGTTTGGGGCAACTTAATTTTTTTGCACTTTTTGCTTGAACGTCCAGCGGAAATCATCTTAATAGCTCTTTCCACACATCACATCCCGGGCAGTACACTGGTTCCATCAAAAGCCATAGTCAGACACTTTTATAATATGGGCAACAATAATTCATTAATAATATATTAAATAAACCAGTATTCAACAAAAATAAATTATAGATTTTGATTGGTCAATCACACGTGCAATATTGAGGTTACAGAGTGTAAAACTGAATTATAGATGCAATACAAAAGTTACTAATTGCATATTTAATTATTTTTAATTTTCCTTGTGTATTCTTTGTATGCCATTAATTGAAATAAATAAATATTAAAGTAAAATAATAAATAAGAGCCATTAAGAATGGCAGCTACTTTTGCAAATAAAAGTGCTGTTTAAAACAGTTTAAATAAATTTTTTATAGAAATAGCAAAAATAGAAAGAAAAGTGAGCCCACAAATTGAAGAATATCAACAAGAAATGGTCACATAAAGTGGCCCCCTATAGTTTTATGACCAAGCGCGCGCTGTTGATGAAAGCTTTTTAGTAATCTGCGCGCGCTCAAAGGAAAATCCTCGAACCGCGCGTTTTTCTGATTTTTATGACGTCAGCATGGTCAAAAAATTCAAAATTAACCGTGGATTTTCTCACATTTCCTTCGGTAAATTTTTGTGAAATTCGCACAATTCAAGACAGAAATGCTACTATCACATGACCGTTTTTTGAAGAAATTTGTCAGAGCAAGTAAGTTTTGTTGTTTTAAAATAACAAATGAGGTAATATTGGCAAAATCGTCTGAAAAACCACTGATGGTTTTCCCCTCCAAAATGCCAGGCAAACTCAGTTTCATAAGATAGCAAAATTAAAGAAATTTCACCAATTAAGGAAACTAAATAAAAAATAAGGAATAAAGATAAAATATAGCAAAAATGTGCATTCTTTTAGATGCTATGTGTCATGGCAATGGCCTCCATGAAAAAAGTAACAACCTATAAATAACAGTACTGTAATTACATCTGTATATCAGTTCCTTACTGGTAAATATCGGGAACGAAAATCAAGACAAAATAACTGGGTTTCCTTTCTAACTCATGTCAGTTTTAACTTAGTGTTAAGGTACCTGCCAGGCAAATTTGGGTCATTTTTATCGTAAAAAGTTGTCCAAACTATGTCTCGAATATAGCCCAGAAGCTTCAGAATATTAATCACTGACTTGTAATGAGCACAAAAATTGACCTGTTTTATGCCCCGAGACCCCATGATGGGGTAATTCGATTAAATATTAACCCATGTCTGGGATAGAAAAATTCGTTTTTTGCTGTAACGGTCCAAAGAAATCCAAATATAAAACAAGAATATGTAAAGGTATTAAAATAAAAGTCATTTTTCTGTGGTTGGGGAAAAACATACTGTTAAAAAATCTGTAGTTATTGCAATAAGACTGAAAGTGAACTTTCGGGACTCACAACATTTCATCATTTGCTTTAATCGCTTTCCCCAACCAAGCGTTTGTTTGATTTTTCCTTACGAAGAGCCTGCCAATTTCATAAGTACCTATCCTTCAGAGACCGTTATATTTTGCATAAAAAGCGCCAGTGTCATCGTTAAATACAAGCAAATTCGCCGAAACACTCGATCAATGCTTCTTGCCGCCATATTGAATTGATTTCCACTGATCATTAGGTCTGCATGTGGACGTATTTTTCATTACTTTTTACCCTACCCACCCTCGCTGAGTCTTGTTTTGTTTATTGGTTGCTAGGTGGATCAGCTTTCTTCCATTCACAGCATGCGCTAAATCTGGTAGCATGTCGGTGTTAAAAATCCACACGTATGTTTTAGAAATGTATTGTTTTTCTCTAACATCTTCTAGTTCTTCATTATTTAGAGGGTTTGATGCTAAGAAGAGCCTGATAAATGTTGCTTTTTTTAAGGAGAATCATCTCTGCAGAGCTCCTGTGGCTTTTGGTTTGACCTCAGTTGAATTTAATCCCTTTATAGATGTCTATTTAGTCAGTGTTCAGTCGGTTTTCACGCTTTTTTAATTTACACAGTGGCACATAAAAGCTTGTTTTCACTCAGTTCTATTGTGAGATAGGTTTAGCCTAACTAATTTGACTCTAGTGGACAAATAGATTAGTAAGAGTATTTTGACCGTGAAGGATGTTGTTGTTCTCTGCGATTTTTGGCATGCTGCACCGCGCTGTCAATTATTGCAAAATACAAAGTTAGTCCATTCTCTTTTGGTTGCTCTTACACCAAAGTTTTACCGTAGAATGCATCCATGGACTATTTTCTTCTATGCGTTTCTCTTAATTGATTTCGTTTTACTGGATGGCTGCTAATTAGATTCCATGATAAACACCCAATGTACTTTGCCACCTACGGGCACTTTTCCTAGTAACGGAAGTGAAATACACAGCTCAATTTCCGGTAAATATT